AGATGCACAAGTCAGTTTCCTATTCTCTCATACGATTCTGGGTTCATCTTAACGTCTTCGAGGGGTAGAACTTGGTTGTCCTCAGCGGGAGCCAGTCCGGGGTTCTGATCCCCAGATCGCGCTTGTGGTAAACGTTCCACTTGTCAATACACGGTCTCGTTCATAATTGAGATAAACTGGGTTACTGAGGTGCTGTCCTCAATTCAAAACAGTTCTCTTCTCGAAGAGCATACGATACTAATAGCTCGAAGGTTATTATGTGATAAGGCAGGGAGCAAGCAGAAGTTCAAATTGTTCCGATTACAAGACACAAATTTGCGGAAACTCTCTAAACTGTGGGCTGACTGCAGCAATGGCAGCAACTTTCGAAGCAGTTTTTCATATCTTCTCGATTTTTTTCATTTTTTCAGTGAGCTGCAGAAGAAGCGGAAAGGCAGCAAAGCGTTACACATCAAAGCTCCGTGCGTGACAGGGATTAGTCAGAGCTCTGAAGCTTCTTTCACGAGCGAGCAAGTACATGGAGCTTGGAAGATAGGTATCGGTTATCATTTGCGATGAATGTCATTTTTGGGAGAGGTCGGCGGGTTTTTGGGCTGACTGCCTGGCTGAGTGATGCCTTGTTCAAAGTAATGCCACTCGTGATCTCTTTTTAATTTTCAAAATTTGCAGGGGGTCGCAGAACTAACAGATCCACTCAAAATAAATCTTGCTGAACTATGCCCAAGAAACGTGGCTTCCCATGCGGTAACTTCACTTAAAAACACGCTCCGCGCTCGTTTGATATTCACACACCTTTTTTGCCCAGGGTACATAGTTCTGTGCGCAAGCACAGAAGACGAACTAATTTCGCAGCTTGAAATATGTGAGGAAAGCTTGCGACGAAGGCAACTCTCCGCCCATCGCTCAACGCAACACACACTCAACTTCCATTTCTAAAGGTTTCCTAGTGCGCGGTTGTTGCGCTACCAACTTTCTCCACTTTAAGATGGCGAGAGTGAGGTGATAATCAAAAAGAGCTGATATTCTTGTGATAACAATAAATAAGAGCTCATCCGACGACGCTTTCTCATCCTTTTGGCACGTGCAAGCTCGATTCGGGAGCGGGTTCTATACAGGACATTGTGGAAGATTTTTTCCTTTGGTTTTCAATACTGAATCTTTTGCG